ACTACTCGACTAGGTCACACTCTGTAACCAGCTCTAAGCTGTCAAAAGAAAAAAAAATAAAGTAAATAAAAGTCTAGCTCTACTTCTATGAGCGCCTGCGCTTCCTTCTCCATTATCGCAAAAACATGGGAAAAGCATGATTTTTGCAAAATAAGTAAATATTTATAATCTGTATATATTATTGAAAATTCTAAATCCCATATTCTTTAAACACATTTAAGCCGGTATAATTCGTTTGAGGCAGTTGTAGAAATCTATCGAATGAAAAATAATATTGAACTGTTAATTATTCTCTATGCTTGACTGATTAGAGATCAGCGCGCAATCCAAGCTGCAGGACCTAAGATATCTAAGATGTCTTTATTCTAGTTTTCTAATGTGATGGGGGAGCATGCTAATACGTTTTGGGAAATTTCACCCGTAAGTGTGGAAGAATCGCGAAAAACTTGAAAGTGGGTGAGAATTCGCATTTAAATTCATTGTCAAATATCTTTATGAAAAGGAATTTAAGAAGTGTTCCATGCTTTACGCAAGTTAAGTTGCCCGATTTACTTTAAATTTATTTTTAACCTTAAATTTCTAGCTGCAACCTTGGCAAATTAGCGGGAACGGTAGTATGCAAATTTTTTGGTTCGAGCTCATTTTCCAAAAACATTCGTGAATTATTTTTTATTTACTCAAAACTATTACACCCTCTTCACCCACTTTTAATATGTACAGGGTATAAATAGCTTATATGTTTATAAGCAACAAGACATTTCACTGCTATTTGAATGTGCACTCATGTTAAAAATAAACCAAAGCAAAGTATTTACAAAATACACTGTAATCCAAACAAGCACAATAAATTTAACAAGAGGTTCTAGTCGGGAGCTCCCGACTAGGGGATACCCTGAACCCTCTTCTTCCAACATCAAATGCATATATATATTCTATTTTAGAAGCTATATGTCAAGTTTGGTGACTCTAGCTCTTATTATTTACCAAAATTTCCCGAAAAACAGGATATCGATATTGATTTTTATCGATTGCTTGGAAACGGAGTAAGTTATCGACTATCGGAAACAAACTCGATCTGCGCGGGCACTAGGAGCACCAATATATAACATTTTAAGTCTATAGCTCTTATAGGTACTGAGATCCATGCGTTCATACATACGGACGGACGGACGGACGGGCGTACAGACAGACGGACATGGCTTGATCGACTCGGCTATTAATGCTGATCAAGAATATATATACTTTATGGGGTCGGAGATGCTACCTTCTGCCTGTTACATACATTTGAATTTCGCACAAATACAATATACCCTTATACCCATTTTTAATGGGTTCAGGGTATAAGAATGTGGGATTATTTTAGCAAACCACGTTCGCACCAAGGGCAAGGATTTTCTTCTGATTTATTCCTCTGTTCAAATAGCCCATGTTAGTATGGTGCTGAGGTAAGAGGCGAAGAAATTTAGATTGTTTGGTTGATGGAAGGGAAGTTCAAAACCAGCATAGCGATTTTGAATTTAAATTTTGTTATTAATAATGATAAGGAAATAATCGAAAATGTGCATTTATTTTGACTAAAATTTAAAAAGTAAACATAAAGTTGAAGAAAAGAGGGCCGCAAATCGTAATTGCCGAGTTTTAATACAAAAACTCAGATTTTGACCAATTCTTAGTATGTATGTATACTTACAACGCATATATACTTTGTACAAATCATAAATATAAATTTATACTTTTTTGTCATTACCGAGTCAAGTTTTCTATATAATATAAATATAACTAAATATAACGTTTTAATCCAGTTCCGAGTTCCCCCAGCGGAGGGGGCGCATTTTACAAAATTTTTGAAGCAAGCGTTAAATGAGTTTTCATAAAATTCTTTGAAAATAATTTTGGAACCGAACTGACAAGCTGACCAAACTGTGGTAAATTCAATAAAAACGTTTTTCCCCATTTTTCATACTTGTTGGAATTTCCAAATACAGTAAAAACGCAAGCTTTCTAGTTATTATGATTTGGTCTGTTCGTTGTTAAGTAAAATCAGTCAGTCAGTCAGACAAACAGTTTTATATATAGAGATGGGTCTACGATGCCTCATATCAATATGTTATACAATTTATGAAAAAATGGTATTGCTAATTTTAAAAGGTATACAAATAAAGTAAGATTCTTTCAATTTACATAATTTAAAAGCATAATAATTTGTTATACCCTAAGCACATTGAAAATGGTAAATAAGGGTATTATGGTTTTTTGAAAATGTTTGGAACAGGTAGAAAGGACCTTAACTATGCACTGGGCTTAGTTACACGGTTACGCCTTATGTATGCCCGTTTCGTATCATAGATCTTAAGCGTATGTTGACTGTAGGAACCGAACAATGGCTACTTATCTTGGAGCTCAAGCAAGACGACAAGTGGTTCAAAGTCGTTTGATAACACCAAATACCAACCTAAAATGGTTAGGCTAAAACATCGATTTTAGATAGATTGAGAGACTGAAATGAAAAAATTAAATTCTATTTTTCCACGGGTAACGTGTTTAGAACAATTTTTAAGGTTTATCGGTGTAACTAAAGCTTTTCTTTCAAGGTGAGTTCATATATGTAAAGGCTATATTCGAAATCTACCAAGAGTATGCGTGTCCTGATACTATTAAGAAACAATTTTCGAATGCGATAAAAGCGGATCAAATTGTGAAAGATATAAATTTGCAATAGACCTGTCCCTTTGTGTGCAGTGTGGAAAATCAACATTTTTTTCCTTGAGTATACATAGAAAGGTAATCTTTTGATGCAAAATTATGAATAAGCATAAGGAAGCGTCGCCGGCCACATAAATAGACGAACCACACTCGGCGACATCGTCACCTCGCCCTGACAGCTCTAAGCAAAGCGTCAATAATGCTTCTAGAGCAGTCGCAACATATAACATCATTTGTCATTCCCAATCATTGTAAACTACCATATATTTTGACATTCCCAATCATTATTGTGACATTCCACAAGCAAACACACAGACATTCCGTAGGCGCGGACATTTATATATAGATATAAATATTTCACTTTTTAGATGCCTCCCCCGTTATTTCCCAAAACTGGATACGTAAAACTTTTGTTATATCTTAGCTCTGAAAACATGATCGAAGAACAAAAGACCTAAGTATGAAGTTTGATCGTGTGGGACTAATGGAATAAGAATAACTAGCGCTAGTATCTAAAATATTATCGTTTAGCACAGAGAGAGACTGGGTCGATTTCGATTTTATTGCTGACCAATAATTTGTATATGTAATAAATGGGGTCGAAGAAGCTTCTTACTGCATGATTCATGCATTTAAAAATAAATAAGTTTTCCAACAACTTAACACGAATTGTGCTGCCGAATGGGCCTACAACAGTTATGATGCTTCGGTAATGGGCGAGATTCTGCATGGTTGGTTGATAAATAGCTCGACGGCTGTATGTTTCGATACTCTTAGCGGAGCGTGATCCTTGGAAATAATACACTTGCTTTGGATCGATTAAGGGCTCAAGTCAGGGCAATACGGCGCAGAAATAGTTTTATTCTGTCTTTTCAGCAGCACATGGAACCTTATATTTGGACGCTTTTGTTGTGCATAATTTATTTTGCGAGCTCTGCCAACTCAAGCAAGGTTACTTAATTAAGTACTGAAAGTACTGCTTTTTTTCGCTTTTCGGCACTGCTGATAAAATACTTCTGCTCCTTGAGACGTCGTGCACGTGCACTAGCAGCAATAACAAAATTAACCCTCACTCAGCCCCGCAACAAGAAGTCTCGCATCTCTGTTATGGCCAACGGAGCTGTTAGCACATATAACAACAGTAATGTACACACCAATATCAACCGAGGAGCTTCTTGCTTGGTGATTGCAAACTGCAGCCGCGGAACCATAAGGTTGCGATTCTGTGCATTAATCCAGTGTCATCTATATAGTGCATGATTTCACATCGTACGTCAGGATCCGCAATAATCTAGGTCACTAGACTCTGACAATTCGTAGAGCACGCTTTCTGCGTAAATCAAGCTTATGGCGAATAAAGGTGCTTTGTCGTACATGCCCGGGCAAAATGAGCAGCACAAATCGCAACATTTTTCTGGGTTAGATACTTAGCCAAAACAAGCAGCAAAGCCAGTGCCTTGTAACATAAGCCACCAACTTCTTTTGGTTAGACTGATCAAATACACTTTACAACTTTACAAAGTGCCTCCAGTAAGATTCTTTGCTGAAGTTACCGAAGCATCGATGCAGAGGTAAGGTAAGAATACCAAAATGCTTGACAGAGTCCTGTAGATCTTTATGGCTGGAACTCACCACCATTATCCGGACATGTTTCAGCTAAAGCTTCTGGCATTTTTCGAATGTTCCACCACAATTGTCGATACATCGCAGGGCGACAATGCACTTAGATGACTAGAATACGCATCCAACATCTAAACATCCAACTCCATGGTTCTCCATGGTTATACGCTTAAATGGTTCAAGGTTAAAGGTATATTTTAATAATTTTTAAAATAATGAGAGACTTTCTTTGGCGATTTAAAAAAAAATATGTTCAATACGGATTACGGACAAGTCCGACAACTACTTCCCCTAACGCATCTACGGGTGCCATATCCAATAATTCAAGGTTTATTTTTTAAAGGGCATCGATTACATCAATTGATATTCCTGATATTTATTAATTACACATTTAGTGTCTGGGCTATTGTTGTTACCCATACATTCGCGTCAATGCCAACTAGAAAGTGCATCTACGTCTTCGTAAATTATATACAAATTATATAAATCCTTGCAAGCAGTACTTATTTCGATGCTTTTTAAATTTAGGAAAATCTTATCAAAATCGGACCACTACATCATATAGCTGTCACAGGAATGAAAGGTCAAAAAATAGGCTAATATGAACAAATTTTTTTATCAAGATATATATATATTTATTTATTAGTTTTTATATGCCGCTTATATAAATTGATTGCCTCAATATTAATAAAACAAAACACTTGCTGGAACACATGTCCTTTTATTCAAAAGTAATATTAGAACTAAAACATAAATCATATCTAACCCTATACAAGACCAACAATTGGCAACTGCGGCTTCAGCTTCAGCGGGTGGCGTAATCGCAAAATTCTATGGAATTTTTATTTTGGCTTCAGTCCCGAAATTATTGCAGACGCTTGGTAAGCAATTTTGGCAATGTTGCAACGGAAGTAATTGTTTGAGCCAAATAATTCTGGGTTAACTTATATGAGCCAAATCTTATCAAGATCGCATTATTATATAACATACAATACAATATGGTTGAAGCAAATCGGACAAGACTAAAAATTTCAATAAGGATATCTTTGAATTGCACTTTCCCACGAGAAAAAATGTGAAACACGTCTTAAATGATATCTTACGTAGTTCCATGGAAATTAAATTAAGCGCGAAATCGTAAATGTAAAGCAAGTGTCAAATGATTTTTCATATAGACCCTTGGATATGATCTTGACAGCGAAACGTCACCCACTAAATCTTTGACCTCCATATTCACGAAGAAGGAATGGATTTTTCGATAAGTGTGAGATCCCTCAAATGAATTCGAACAAAGATCTTTCAAGATATGTTTGAGGCCGATCGGATGATAAACAAAAAGTTTCATACAACAATTTTTCGCGATTTTTCCACACATGCGGGTAGAATTTCTCGAAACCCCGTCTTAGCGTCCACCTTAATTACATAAGAGCTTCCTAGCTCTTACGGTTCGGGCTGTGCGTTGATCACCACAGCTTTATATTAAGAAATAAAGATAAGTTTTCTATTTCACAAGATATTTTCACATCATTAATAAAAACATTTAATCTTCGGCGTACCGAAAATAATTACTTTTTTTCTTTGTTGCAACTACTTCTGTTTTAAAAATATTGCTACGAGAAGTACTTCTATGTGCTTAGTCGTCCCTTAGCGCCCCACAGCGAAGTGCTTTCTTTAAAAACATCGGTGATGATTTCCCGACTTCATGCCAAAACTTCAATATTTGTTCAAAGAACATTATATGACGAAAAGATAACTAGACAGCCTGCTAAATTCATATCATCAAAATAGTTATACCTGATTTACCCACTTTCAATGAGTTTGGTGCATAAAAAGTTAACTTGGAATCAACCATTAATGCATTACTGAAGTATTTTCTGCAGCCTTCAACACATAGTTGAAAATAGGTTTCAGCCCATTTTCTCAAGTATGTGGATGAGAATGCTTATGCACACATTATATAGTTATTTTACATGTTTTTTATACATCGCCTTAGCAAATTCCCTTTACGTCAGAAAATTCTTTGAATAACCTAAGTTAGCAGCTTACCTGCTCTTAGCTATAGGCTAAATAATTATGTATGTATGTATTGTGTAACTATTCGAGGATAGCATTGTTAATATGAGTGACCCTCGAGATATATAAATAAACTGGCTGAAGATTAGTTTAAATGGTTGACGTCGCGCCTTTGTCCTCATTTCGTGTGCCCTGCAAGCGAAAAAGGGGCTTCAACTTGTTTGCGATGAACGTCAGTTGCATGGAGGGTGTGTGTCTCTATGGGTGTAGTTGGAGTATGCATGTACATACATATGTTTGTGAATGTGTAAGTCGTGAGTGTCAAACTGGAAGATACCATATAAACGAGTTTATTTCTCTGAAGAGCCAAGGGCTGTAAAAGAAATAAGTAAAAATGCTTTGTCTTGTGAGCCCAACTAAGAGATACCCTGTGTCCAGAGTCAAGCTGCCGTTCAGCCACTTTGAGTGGCAAGTAAACACACAAAAACACCTGTACACACGCCGCATGCTGCGCAAATTATTATGAAGCATAAATTTAAAATATGCATAGAGGCAAGGGTAGATTTATTAGGGGTTGTCTGCTTCAGCCTATTAAATACAAATATACAAATTTGTTATACTCTTTATTGCTACTTTAAATAGGTGCAATAATATTAACAAATAAGAATTTTCAAGTAGGGTGTAACCAACTGATTAATATACGCTTTCGTGATAATTGTTTAAAAGAGAAAACCTAAAAATTTATTGATGCGTTTCTCCATTTTCCAAATGCTCAGTTGTTATTAATCAACTTTTAAAGAAGTTCATCGGCCGACTTTAAATAAAAATTGGCCACTGCAGCTGTAAACACATAAATCAATTTTGTCATTGCCCCACTAGGGTCACATGCCCTTAATAATTTCTCTGAATCGGGAATACATATATTCCGAGAGTAAATTACCAGTGTCAATAGTGTTTGAAAAAATGTAGGGCAATGCATAAACCAAATATACTCTTTTTATTTTGTCTGGGGTATTGCGAAAAATATATGAAGATAAAATAGTAGGGAGTACCCAACTAGGAAATACCGTCAATCAAGTTTTATAAAAAACTCAAACAGGTCCGCCGGGCAAGCTATCGATGCTTACAAACACACTACCCAGAAGAGTTTAAACTACCTATTTCATTGGTAGTGAAGTAAAACTATTATGATTAAATCGTTAATTTAAGTAAAATGCTCTCCCCTGCATGGCTTAATGGCTCATGCCCCCATGCCTCTTAGCTCATAACTAAAATAGAAGCAGAAACACTCAGCACAGCCAGAATACATTGGAAATTTCATTCATATTTATAGAATTCGAAAGGGAGCACAATATATGACCTAACCATTCTTTAAACAGTTTCGGAGTTTCTTAATCTATATTGACCGCATTCCGCAATAGGTCTTATTGTGCCAAAGAATTTTCATTTATTAAAAAAAATAAAATTAGCATTAAATTTGTGGATTACAACTATTTTGTGTTCCAATTGGATTTGTACTTATGCTTCTTTTAAAAAGGGAAAGAATTGAATTTTGTTGATTGCATGGGAACAAGGTGAGTTATTCATTATTTCAATTTGAGCAGCGCTCTAGCAGCAAGCATTAATATTCTGTATGAGGTCGGAATGGATTCCTCCTGTCTGTCACATATATTTGAACAAAACCGCTATACCCCTTTAACCATTTTCAATTGGCTCAGGGTATAAAGAATATAGTAGTGAGAACACAATGAGTAGAGAAGATAAGATAGAAGAATCAAGGGGAGACTTGCGGCGTGGTGATACGCCTACTAATATTAAAGCTTGCATGTCGGTAGTGCCCAACTAGGAGAAATCGAGCACTCCGCTTAAAGCTACCATTATAAACATTGTAGCTTTCTTCTCTAGATTAAATACTTATAAGGACACGTTCACATATGGACTTCCCTATGACCGATATATGAGAAATGCCTTAGTTTGAATTTACAAGCTCTTGATTTTGTAATATGTGCGTTTTATACAATTTTCGGAACACGAAGTGTTATCGAAAGTGTGAAATAATTTGGATCAGTGTATGGTATATGCGAGTCGTCTTTGGCTAGGATTTTGATGTAAATATAAATCAACTTCATGTAAAAAGGACCAGTTATCAATGACTTAAAATAAACTCGTACTGCGCGGAGGAGGATCTCCGATCAACATTTCGAGCTCTCCTGATCTCCGAGATAGAAACGTTCATACTTACGGAGTTAGATGGACGGGCAGACAAATGGACATGGCAAGATCGAGAAAATATGTTCTTTATGGGGTCTTTTTACCTTTACATACCTTCGCATAAGGAATCGAGAATATCGATATAAAAATCATATTTTTTAAACATATCTCATAGGTGTTAAGAGCTAGTGATTAACTTTGGCATTTTGCTTTGTATAGACAGATGTAAATGTGTTATTGATGCAAATATGCATCAAATAAGATTCGAATGGCTTATTCACAACATTAAGCATTTTAGTTCGTATTAATATCATTTTTTTGCAGACTTGTGAAAACAATATTCTAAAATTTCATATTATTGTTCAGACATAAAAAAAAAAACTATTGAGTAAAGTTCAGCTGCTTGGATATCACGACTGCGGTCATCAATCAGGAAATGGGTATAAAGAAATAAATGTACTTAAATATGAATCGTATATACCTTTTCTTGCAGTTATCATAACATGGGCTGCGTCTTTGAATCAGCGAGAGAGCAGCCCAAGCAGAGTACAACAAAACAAACACAAAATCAATGCTCTCGCATAACATCAACATTAGTAAGGAACATAGAAATCAAGGATAACTATAAACAAAGTCATAAAACTCAAACAGCAGCAGCAACAGCAACCGCCAAACATCTAAAAGCAGCAGCTCAAGTGCTTTTAGCGGAACAACGGCAACAACAACAGCAACAACAACAACAGTTTTTTCAAGTGGCGCATGATAACAAGGTCGCGTTGGCGACACGCGAAACAATTCTAACAATCAATATTCAGGCATCGAGGCAGCCAAGCACTTTGCAAATAAATTGCTCCAACTGCTACAGCCGCAGCACAAAGATTACAAAAAATGAGCAGCGACGCTACCGACGCATTCATTGGTGCCAGCATCATGCGGCCAGAGGATGTGGCAGTTGCACCGGCAGGAGTACCGACATTGGTGCAAAAGCGACTTTGGCTGGCATTTCCAGCCAAGCGCAAACTGACCTAGCGAACCTCCTGGACGAGAAAGGCAAGGATCGGCAGGAACAGCATGAGAAGGATGGGCGTAGAGATGTAGAACAGCCATTAGCTTATCTTACGTGGCGTCTAGGCAATGTCGCCAGCGCTGTCGTACCCATCACCATGTCAGCCGCAATTCTATCCACTCTGAGCACCACCTTAGCAGCCGGATATCAGTATCTGGCACAGCATTATAAGCAATATAGCCAATCGTTCAGTTTCTATGCGGCATCCAGTGTTGTACTGATGCTCTGCTATCTGACGACGACATCTATGGCCGCTGCAACACAGTCTGAGACGGTTGCCATTGACAAGCATCCTATGTAAGTTCTATTCCTATGAGCTCCGGAGACCTTTCTATACATTTTCTCCCATTCACAATTTACACTGTAATTTTTATTTTTACAAGTCTGAAATCTGAATTGAATTATGTATATAGTAAATACTATATGTAACACCATGTAACCACTTTACTCGAAATTTTTCTATTTACACTCTTTTAATATTCTTTCATTCACAGCATCGATTGGTCAAAGTAAGTTTTGCACCCACACCAAAACATACTTAACAAATTACGAAAAACGCAATATATGAAAGCAATATTTCATATTCTTACTTTGTGTTTAAATATTTTATTTACTCTTTAATTTTTATACCCTAACTATTTGTAATAAAAATGTATTTTTGAGTTCTGCAAATGTATAAAAAATGTAGGATTCATCTCTCACCAAATAAAGTTCATTTATTATCAGGCAGATTCCACGGGTGAGTTTGTTTGGCTGTCTTTATGTAAAGGCGCGTTGATCTCAGAAACTGTCAGATTCAAATTTGAGTTTATGTAGACAGTTCAATAGCACGCGCTCTATCCTCCGATATAGACAATAAACAATCGTCTACATCTGCCGAAGATGTTATAAATCTTTATTTACTTCGATTACAAAGTTAAAATGATGTAATAAAGGCTTCTCCAACTCATAAATAAGCAAATACAATATGTGTCTACGACTTTCATTAAATTCTTTCAATAACTGAATAACATATAGAGAGTAGTCGAAGTTCTAGCAAAAATCAGAGCTCTAATAGAGGGCTTTGAAAGTAAGTTCAACGCCCATTGAGTAATAAATATATCTGTTTATTACTCTATGCTTAACGCCGAAGGGCCGAAGGGCATTTATATATTTTATCACGTAAGGTAACTATAGTAAAGATTTCAGCTTCCGTACTCTCAGTTAGTTAGTCATTTAGAACTAACTGTTTTGTACCAAACAGGGATTTTTATGGCTATTGTAATACCCTTGCTGAGGGTAATATAATTTTGTAGTGAAATGTGTAACGCATAGAAGGAAACATCTCCGATCCCATAAAGTATATATATTCTTGATCAGCATCAACAGCCGAGTCGATATAGCCATGTCCGCTTGTCCGTCTTCCTGTTTCTATGCAAACTAGTCTCCCAGTGTTAAAGCTATCTTTATTAAACTTTGTTGAAGTCTTTTTTTCTTTTGCACGCAGCACATATGTCAAAATCAGCTGGATCGGACCACTATATGCTATATTCTACTATATGCATGTAGCTGCCATAGGAATGATCGGTCGAAAATTAACTTGAATGAAAATTTTGTTTTTCAAGATATCTTCTCTGTGCTTCTATTTGCTATATACATGCAAAGCACTATAAGCATTCGGCGTTTTTTCATTAAAAAAGTCGCCAGCAAACAGATATTTTTCGTAATGTTAGAATCATGGCAATGGATTCAGTCACTTATTATAAGATATGTGTTCCGATCCAGCTCATATGTTATCAATAGTGAAATATTTCCGCAATTAGATCAGATGGATGACAAAAACAAAGACGATAATAGTGAACAATGCTTTGGAATCGGCTAAGCTCGTATCGGGTAGATTGAACTAGGAAGAGCACAGTTTGCAGTTTGATTGGGGTCAGAATTAATGAAATGTGATTGCCGTCCTTTGAGGTTGGTACAAAGATATCCATTATTGCGCCATTGGAGTGGGATTACGTCGTCGTCTCGAATAATAATTTCTCTTTAAGATCGAATAACAAGTTAATGTTGGAGGGCAGATCAGCTCTAATTATTCGTGATTATACATCAGCCATGATTAAATGTCTAAATCATAAATGCGTTCGAATATGTGTAGACGAGGCTCAACTGGACGTTTTTCTTTGTCGTCTAACTTGCTGTTGCCATACTGCTGCCTCAGTTGAAAAGTACAGCTGTGCGAAGCAATTGGAACTATTGTAAACAGCTTAGCTAAAATTGCTCAACTCCATTGTCCACCAAATTTTTTAATTTGAGGAGAGTTTGAATTTGCTTTGGAGTTTGAGTGAGCATTTTGTTTGATTTCAAGGCAGACAAAACAACATTTTGTTTATTCACAGAGTCTAATAGCTTTACATCTTATGGCTGTCAGCTTACTTACAGTCGAATTGGTGTCTAGTTACTCTGGCAGCTGCTGGTGTGGGGACATGTTGGTTGCTTCCAATATTTTGTCGGATACATCAGATCGGCAGATCGTTCTCCTTCCTGACTGATAAAATTGTCTTTCATGTGGTCTGATATCAAATCAAATTTACTGGCTTCAGCCTATACATTGCTGAGACTGAACAGTCTTTTTTGTTGGGATACCCTTATTTCCACGTCTTATTTATTAAATTTAATTACGAATACTTGCGTCAGAATAGAGTGTTGTGGTGAAATGGAAGCACTAATTTGCTGAATGTTTTGTTCACTATGACACTCAATGGAATATTGAACTCACATGTCATAATGTTATCCCCGGATTCGTAAAATTAAAATTCGTCGATGATTTAGTTTGACTGCGGATATGCAGAACGTAAATTGTGCGTCGATAATTCAATTCTTCACAAATTAGAGAACGCTTCGAAAAGGGGACTTGTCGTTTGCAATGCTAGAGTCTACAGCAAAATCTATTAATGATAGAACCGGTTCTGAAAATTGCTTTACAGACAGCTTTCTCATTCATGGTTTTTCATGCCTTGTTGGTTAATATTATGAAAATCCAATATTCAGCTGGATTTAATATTTATTTTATTATGTACACACAGTTCAAGTTTGCGGAAATACCAAATGTTGAACCAAACACAAGAGGAGTTAATTTAAATAATGCAATATCGTCGAGGGGATAAATAAATCGTGCCATTGATTATAAAAATTAAATTAAAATTATAAAATTATTATTGTTGTCAAACTTCTGTCTTATATATAATAACTAACAACTGCCGCGATTTTTGTATTCAAGCAAGCGAACAATTTCTTGTTGCAATAAGATATTTTTTTGGCGCAGTTCACATAGTTACCAGGAGAACGTTTGAACAAAACGCTATTTTATGTATGAAATATTATTAATTGTCAATATGTGTTGAAACATTTTTATTTTCGGAGGCAGTATTTCACGTGCCTTGAATTTTTTTGGGTGAATCATTGAAGTTGAGATTGAAAAATCAGTTCATAGTGTTGTGCGTGCTTAGGAACAGACAGTCATATAGACTCTACTAAGAGTAAGAGGAAGACTAACTCGGATTATCTCTGTTAACCACAATAAAAAAATCTCGTGCTATCTTTTAAAACATACATTTGCCCTACTCTATACAATTTTTAAATGGATACATCGGTTAAAATACAAAATGCATGAACTCATTTTAACACCAACTATGCAAATATAAATCTTAAAGCTTGTGTTATTTCCAGTTCAAATTTTGTTGTTAACTCTAAATTTTAATTCGATACTAACGAACCCTTATTCCTCACTTCCTAGTTTATTATTAACAAAATTGTTATAGATATGAAAATATGACCTTTTGAGATCGTTTTTATTTATGTGTTGCGATATGCTTATAACAGTCTTAAATAAATTTATACAAACTTGTAGTTACAAAATAATGTTATCTTTACACACAGATTCGACGAGTCCAGTTCGGATAAGGAAATTTTAGATTTATTGCTTGAGAAGAAACGCTACGATAAACGATTACTGCCGCCTGTAAATGGTAAGCAACTTTCGAAATTGACAATAAATAACCACAACCTAAACTTTTCCTTTAACTGAAGCTATATTATACAACAATAATGAGGACAATGCATTAAGTAAACATTATTCCTGTACCAACTTATTAAGTTGTTGGTAACATTTTCGGACTAATAAACACCGTTAACGTTTTCTAATAGACACGTTGACAAAGACTTGGCCACTATACAAATAATTTAATTCAATTGCCGGTTTAGTGAGAATGCAGACAGAAGAAGATAATATAGTAGACATGACATAAATTATATGCATTAAAATAAATGCTTGTATATAACATATAAATATACCTTTAAGGCAACGGTATTAAAATGAAAGAAGGATTCTAGTAAAATCTTTAAATAAAATCTGTCCAGGCTTAGTTTTGTTTATCTTCAAAAGTTTAACAACCAGAAAACAAGAGTCACAACTTTTGGATGATGATGTTTTTTTTACTTCATTGTCAATATTTTATTATACGTAAAAACGTGGGACCTGTGTGGAAAAAATTAAGCTATACAATACTTTAAAAGGAAAAGAGTCGTCTTGATTTTCGGATTGGTGTCTCTATGGCTGTAAATCCGAGGTAGGTCCCTTGAACAGTGACTTTGATAAATAAATGCGAAATTGCTAGCAATCCCCAAATGCAAAATTATGTAAAATTGCAACTTAATATCATCACAATTTCAAAGTCGCTGATTCGTGGCTCCAGTATTAGAGTTAAGAACTTAATAATGAAGAAAATCGTATTCAACTAATTTAAGTATGCCTAATTTGAAGTCAAAAGCTCCAAAATAAATAGAACAATTGTGAGCTTGAAATATGTTAAGCTATTTTGAGAGTCTATTTTGCAGAGTAAATGAGTTATTATATCTTGACTCATTTGTAAAAAAAAAATTTCTATTAAATCTTACAGATGAAGACTTTTGTTGTGGCTTACAATCGCCCGACATGGCTACAAATCAAAATGCGCGGAGACCACATAATCGCGGTTGGTGAAATGTCCTAAACAAATCACGAGAATAGCAAAAATTTTAGAGTAGCGTCTTATAGATTGTGTTGGTTAATTTAGCACCATATTGATTTCATACTTCTTCTTAATTTTGATTTGTAGTATTTATCACAAATATATTGATCTATAAGTTATATATGTTGCCTCTGGTGCTAGCACTTTTATTAATACATATAATTTGTACTCAAAAGTTGTTTGGTATACCTTTATTAAATTTTTAACTAACTTTGACTACTTTTATAGGCACCCTGACAGTTAATGTTAATGTATTGCTGTTAAGCTTAGCATCGCCCGACGAGAGCAGTCTGGTAAGAAATAGTGTTACGTATATATATTTTTTAATACTTAAGTCGTATTTTATTGCAGAAATATGAAGTGGAATTTCTGTTGAATCAGCAGTGGAACGATCCACGCTTGCAATATGGCAATAAGTCCCACTACGATTTCTTAAATGCTTTGCATCATCATGATAGTATCTGGACGCCCGACACATATTTCATTATGCATGGCGATTTCAAGGATCCCATCATACCAATGCATTTCGCTTTAAGAATATTTCGAAATGGGACCATTACGTACGCAATGAGGTGTGTTGCACTAATTTAAATATAAATGAGAATTATTTACACTTTACTATAGACTTTAACCCGGCGTTTACCGGCTCATTCATACCCTAAGCCTATTAAATATATTTAAAAAGGGGTATATTTTATTCGAAATGTATGTAACAGACAAAAAGAAGTGTTTATATTTCTTGTCAAAATAAAGAGCCGAGTCGATTTAGTCGTTCCGTTTGTATTAACGGGTCGATCTGTAATACTAAAAAAACTGGGTATGTTTAAATAATCGACATCGTGTTCTCTTTTATTTTTTAACGAAAACAAACTCGATTTGCGCAGGCACTAGGAGGACCTACATCTAAACGGACAGACGGATAGACAGACTGACGGACATGGCTAGATCGACTCGGCTATTGATGCTAATTAAGAATGAATATACTTTATGTATCTTGAGATGCGTCTGCCTGTTACATACATTTACATATTGCACAAATGCAATACACCCTTTTTTCACATTTTTATGGGTTCAGGGTATAAAAACAAATGAGAGTGCGGATTACCATTTGAACATTGTCGACCAATTCGCAGACGTGTTCAGACTACATAATCCTTTACACGATTATTTGAATTGCCTGAGATATCAAAGGAATGGTTTGTCATCCCTCTTCATAAAAAGTGGAAAACAAAAGATGTGCTTCTAAATTGTCTGATATTCCTAAAGATAATTCTAACAACTCAACTGCAGCATTAATGCAGCTTCATTGTTTATGCTTCTGGTTTCGAAAAATACAATTACTAACAGATTTAGGAAAGGCTTTCAATTTAGCTAATAACTTGTTGCTTACTTTACAAACTTGTCCTTCCCATATTCTTAATATATGCTGGTATCTTCTGAGGTTCCCAATCAGTCATTAAGCTACTCTTTACATTTTAATCATTGACCTTCCCTTCCATTCTACTTATGTAAGAATATGGATTCCTGGTTTTGATGCCTTTAAGTTCGAGTCTAATCTAGTACACGTCAGCTGTTGCAAATGCAAAGTACTGGCTATCTACAGAAACTCTGCCCAACTACTTTCCTTCAAGCTAGACTTCACATCTCCTAAAGAGTCACTGGTACCGGTGATAACAACTCGTATACGACAAAGAGCCTATCTTTGACTATGCCTAGTCCCCAGAACATTCAATTATCAAAACGTGATTTAATGTGTATAGAAAGAATACTTATAAGTTCTTATTGCATTAAACATGTATTGCTGCCATATTCCAGTAGACTCCTGGTGCTCAAGCTTGCCTTTTGGATTATTCTTATTATTATTCTTGAAGTATTATTTCTTCACAAATGAATCACCTGCGAAATTGATTCCTTTGGATTGATAACTTACACGTGGCTATAAATGTTTATCTTTTGTGCAACTATCAAACATTTAAAGGGTTAGATAACTTGACCCGTTTCCAAACAATTGATACAAAATCTATATTGATACCGTGTTTTTCAGCAGACCTCTTAAGAGCTGTAACCATCTTAACCAAAAATCAACTATACATATTTCAGGATACTTTTTGAGTACTTAATGAGGACATCGTGTAAAATCAAATAAATCAAAGTTCGAGTGAACAATTTGAAAGCTATTTTTTATTTGCGAGTATTATAATATTCTATATCCCAATAAGATGTCCTGCATTTAATTTATGACTTATTCTATAAAGTCTTTAAATTCCTCCTGCAAAACTTGCATAATGCATAATGTCGATATAAGGTGACTTTAAAAACCAATGTGCCGCAGAGGTTATTTGCCTACAAATTGGTCACCTTCATTAATATTCAAAATTATTCTCCTCGGTTCGGGTCGTAAGGGCGTCCGATTGCCAAGAAAATTTGTGATGATGCCACAAAACCGGAGAACTATAACATAATACACAGCGCTCAGATACATTTCTGAGTATAGTAGGTATGACAAAATATTTTAGAGAAAAGTTTATGCAAAAACAAAACAAATCCGAAATACACCTTTCCCGTATATTTTGTATCTGCAGATATGTTACCTTTGTAATCTTTTAATAGTCTATTCAATTCTGTCCTCAAATATGTTTGACTTAAGTCTACTACAAAAATTCTAAAATTTTTTGCTTGTAAATATTACAGACGGCATTTGATATTGTCCTGTCAGGGAAGTCTACATATATTCCCATTCGATGATCCAAAGTGCTCCTTCTCAATGGAAAGCAGTAAGTACGAGTATTGTTTAATAGCTACTTATTTGCTAATGGCAAATTTCTACAACAAAAATTCACAAAAAAAAAATTAAATGAATATAAACAAATATACCATCAGGATACATACATACATACGTATTGAAACCTAACAAAAAAACTAAGAAAAAATGGTCATCAACTTTTGTAGAGAATGTTGAATTCCCATAGTTATCCAAAGTTTTTATAAGGGGAAGAAAAAGTTCGACGATAGATCACTAAGTGCTTAGAGTAATTTTTTTGTAAACGCACCTAGAGAAAGGGCGATAGGTTTCGGTAAGCCAAGAAAGACCATATAATTAAACCTAAAATAAAAAAAGAATCTATGTCAGTAGAAAACATTGAGGATTGTCCTTCGGTTGGTCAACGATGGAAGATTAAGAAACAGCTTGCTGTGTCATAATAAACGGGGGGTCCCAGTTTAAGTTCGTAAAGCAAAAAGCAATTCGATCCTGGCTATTTATACCCTGAACCCATTAAAAATGGGTAAATCAATATCGAAGTCCTATTTTTAACCGAATTGGGTAAATAATAAGAACTAGAGTCACCAAACCAGATATGTACCTTCTAGAATAGTTTATATATATCAAGAATCTTGTATTTTATACCAATGACCAATTTATACTGCCCACCAATTTAAGCCACAATTTAAACGCTATTGATTATTAGGTAATATTGAGATAGTCTATAGCACAATAAAATCCACTGTTGAAGATTTCATCAAGATCAGTTAAGAACACATAAGTTATTATAAAACACGTGTTTTGGCTGGTCACGAGTTTGGGGCAGCTATTCCAAATTGCATGCGCGTCTTCATTGAATGCTATCAACAGCATTGCAATTGCGATTGTATTGTTTTTATGCCCTGAACCCATTAAAAATGGGTATAAGGGTATATTGTATTTGTGCAAAATCCAAATGTATGTAACAGGCAGAAGGAAGCATCTCCGACCCCATTAAGTATATATATTCTTGATCAGCATCAATAGTCGAGTCGATCAAGCCATGTCCGTCTGTCTGTCCGTCCGTCGGTATGTATGAACGCAAGGATCTCAGAACCTATAAGAGCTAGAGACTTGAAATTATAGATGTAGGTGTTCCTAGTGCTTGCGCAGATCTTGTTTGTTTCTGATAATCGATAACTTACTCCGTTTCCAAGCAATCGATAAAAATCGATATCGATATCTTGTTTTTTGGGCAATTTTGGTAAATAATAAGAGCTAGAGTCACCAAACTTGACATATAGCTTCTAAAATAGAATATATATATGCATTTGATGTTGGAAGAAGAGGGTTCAGGGTATCCCCTAGTTGAGAGCTCCCGACTAGAACCGCTTACTTCTTGCTTTTGTGGCTGTTGAGTAGAGGCGACAGCAAGTAATGCGAGTAGGGAGCTCCCGACTAGAACCTCTTACTTGTTTGTGCTGCAATCTTACTCTCATCAAGACTAAATTAACACTAACCACAGAACATGTGTCCAGAACTCCCGACTACAACCTTTTATTTCTTTGATACTGCTACCTTCTTTCAACTGTAAAGTCAGTGTACAGTCTTAGGAGGCAAAGCAAACTCGTCATTGCAGGTGATACACATGCCTGGTCTTAAAAGCAGGAAATCAAGCCCTTTGAGAGATGTCTACACTCTTGAACAAAGAGCTTAGCTTGTTGCTGGTATAGCATTTTTCAGCCAGTCTCTTTTAAAAAATAAGAGATGGAGATGACTGTTTTTGTGTTGAAAGCAAAGTTATTTCCTCCCTGGCGTTTAAATATGAAATATATACCTCCTTGCTACCATATGCTTCCACATGATAAAACGATTTCAAATATATTTATCGGAAGTTTTATTCCAACATTTCAAACTTGGACACACTTATTATAAAACTGTAGAAGATGAAATGTTCCCGACTTGCGATGCTTACAGTCGGCATAGGCATATATTCTTACCACATAATCTATGAATACATAAGACAAACATATATGTATATCAGGGGAAATGCTCCTGATTGGCAAGCCATCTGCAGTGGCATAGCGAGTAATTTAGCCACTTACTGTGCTCACTGTGCAAAATATGCGAAGTGAAATGGCGTGAAACTCGCTTCTACGTAGTCATAAAACGAATTCGCATTCTTCTGTTCCAACCACGGTTAAGGCCCTTTTGCTCGAAATCGGAGATCTCGAATGTTTTGTCATTTAATGTTTCTCGGGAATTTCCAAGCCGAGAATTTGTTTCTGCCGTCTGCCCAGCTCTTTACAGAATGCTGTCAGCATTTTCCCTTCGGGTCCTGGCCAGCAAACGTCCTAGCTGGTTGGACGTGCTGAGCATGTCCGCCTTGACATACATCACGCTTTTTGCATGAAGGAGTCACCGGAGATGTATCTCTGGCTGCTTCTGTGATTTCTCCTGAAAGGAAATCGACATATTTCTCAAGTGCGCTACAGGCAGGTTCAGCAGACGTTTAGATAGACCCATTTAGGAATCTGCTCCTATTCTATCAATAACGTAACGTGATTCAGTCAGGTCCAGCAAGATCATGTTGCTTTTCATGTAGTTATTTACCTCTGTTGCACAAACAGTAGCTTTCGCAGCGCCGTTGCCCCAAGCCAGCAATTTTGGACCAAGCTGGAGATGTGCACATCTGTTATTCTGAAGGCCGGTGGGCAGTATACTGACGCCAGGTAGAAGATACACATTAAAACTAAAAATTTCACTGAGATCTTCACATCGTAACACATTCAACGGTGCATTGTACTAGTTCCACCCACTCTCTCGTTATTAATTTATTAATAACTTTTTTTTCCATGTGAATAATAACAAATTTTAAAATATATAAAAATTGCTGTTTGACTTAAACTGGCCGGCCGCCTCTCTCGTAATCCGTCATGCGCAAATATGCTTCTTAGATTTTTTCATTGACGTTAATATCAAAATAAGGGTCTTACTGTTTTGTCATAAATCGTGTAAAGCATATCTCCGACCCCAAAAATTATATATATGTATTCTTGATCAACAGCTGAGCTTATATAATCGGTTTCGTCTGTCTGTTCAAACTTGCCTCTGAGCATAGAGCCGTCAACTGAACAACGCACGACCCGAATACAACATAAACGTTCGTACGTACCAGTTAATACTATCGAATAAATCTATCTACCTGCCTAATAGGAATAGAAGACTTTCTACGAAGAAGAGAAGACTCGTAGTAAAATACTCCTTAATACTTGTTCTAATCATCACAGAGGACCCGGAACTGTTCAAGCAACGCATAGTTATATAAACCAACAACTAAGCGCTAAAGGTATCATAAGGTGTTAGTCTAGAAGGAACTTAGAAGTTTACTTAGCTAGTTAACCCAAAAGAGTCAAATTCAACCGTAATCCTTGAATAAATTTTAGTTATATAGATGGAACTTAAAAGCCAAATTCTACATCCATTAACACAAGTAATAATAATATATCGATTTTTACAATAGTAGCTTTACTTATTATAAATCAAAAGAGAGCTCGAGCTAGAGGAAAAGTGTGTACTTTTCGTAATATGATGAAAAAACAAAAAATTGTAACCAAACTTATCAAAGACAAAAATCTTCAAATGTATCAATTTCTGTGCTGACCGCCACGAAATATTACGCAACATAGTCCCACAATTATTTAAAAAGGGGTCTCTAACCATAAAAAGTCTACTGGACTATGTCGATAACCACACACGAGGATTCCAGTTTCAGCCACAAGAGGCTAACAACAGGAATTTTTCAAGAAGAATAATCTAGAATAGGTCGTACCACAGATATAACAAGTAAGAGGTTCTAGTCGGGAGCTCCCGACTAGGGGATACCCTGAACCCTCTTCTTCCAACATCAAATGCATATATATTATATTTTATAAGCTATATGTCAAGTTTGGTGAATCTAGCTCTTATTATTTACCAAAATTGCCCAAAAACAGGATATCGATATCGATTTTTATCGATGGCTTGGAAACGGATTAAGTTATCGATTATCGGAAATAAACTCGATCTGCGCGGGAGCTAGGAGCACCTACATCTAAAATTTCAAGTCTCTACCTCTTATAGGTTCTGAGATCCTTGCGTTCATACACACGGACGGACGGACGGACGGACAGACAGAAAAATACAATACACCCTTATACCCATTTTAAATGGGTTCAGGGTATAAAAAGGGTATTTGTCGTGTACGGATATTAGCACGCTATACAGTAATCTTTCGAGGATGTAAAAAAAACATTTGAAGAGGGCGTCTGTAGGAAGTCATTACCTTACATTTGGAATAGCTTAGATTAAACGGATTAACATGACACCAAGACTGAGGGGCAACATTTTCGGATTGTAAAAGGTTACATCAGGCCAAATCTGTTTATGCAAAGCACAATTCTACGTCATCATCATACGTTAGTAATCGATAGTAAGACAGTAACGAGGGAAGGTCAATTATGAAAAAAATAAAGAAAAGCGAATCAAGGTGACTGTTTATAGAAAAAGTTTCTGGGTATCTCTCTTCGAGCACTCCCGAGTAGTATATTTTCTTTGTCGGATAATATGATTCTAAGAGTAAAACATAGTTTTTGTTGGGAAATCATTAAAGTTTATGGATAATGTTAATTCGTTTTTGGTTTTCATGGTTGGTTGGGTCACTAGTGTCTAGCACCTTTTCGCGATATTTACCGTCATTTTTTATGGGTGTTGCGTATTATAGGTATTAATGCTTTCGATGTTAATGATGGAAAAAAAGTAAATTTTGGAAAGTAGCTTATCGTATAGTATAAGCAGATCACAATATTTATTTTTTGGGTATAATAATATGTAATAATAGTACGGTGTGTTTCAAATAAAATTCGCGCAAGTGAGACTTAGAATTAGATATGAAAAATGTAAACAAAAACTTGTATGTATCCATAATTTGCCTTATTACATCGTTATGTTTTCTGCTCGTTCTGACCTACAGTTTCCTATGAGGAAGCACAAATCAAATATGTCTGGAAGAATGATGAAGACACATTACGCAAGAGCCCATCGTTGACCACACTGAATGCATATTTGATTAAAAATCAAACAACGGCCTGTGATCAAAATAGTTGGAGAGGTAAGTTCAGCTAGTAGCATCCAATTATTTAACAATTTGATCTTGTGTGTTTGTATCTATATGATTTTATGTGTTTGTCTTTAGGCGCATCTTTTATTAATATCCAATGTTCTCGTATTTGTCTATATTTTACTTCTAAGTTAAAGTGGCTAAATCAAAATTTGCAGCAACAATTTAAGTTTCTTAGATCCTTACAAATTTTGAGTGTCATATTTTGTGCGATTACGATTATTTCGACATGTAGTCTGGAGCTTATTTATTGCCTTGTTTATTTAAGAAATTATATATACATATTACCAACAAGTACATTAATTGTTTTGCATATCTAATGGTCTAATCTTTGTCTACCCCTAACCAAAAACAAAAATATATAAATGTTACAACAAATACTTGGTCAACTCCTACTCTCTACAAAAACAAAAACAAAAAAACAACATCAATCTTATTGCTAAACTCAAATCAATAGGGAACTACAGCTGCCTTAGGGTCGATTTAATCTTTACCAGAGATCGGGCGTTCTATTTTACCACCGTTTTTATACCTGGCATTATTTTGGTGACGTCGTCTTTTATAACATTCTGGCTAGAATGGAATGCCGTGCCCGCTAGATCAATGATAGGTAACGAAAACCAAATAAAACACCAGTAAAAAATAATACCAAACAAACTAAGCAACCAACAATATATCTTTAATTATTCAAATTTACCCTTGCTAATTTCACTGAAAAGTACAAATTTAAGCCATTTTTGTATACGCCATTAAGATTTGACTTATTTCGCCTTTTTAGCGATTGACTTACAACAATTTGTACTGCCCTCTACATGCGCAATTTACAATCCTTATTTCATTTTGATTTAGTTGAAAATTGCATTTACACACTCTGCCATATTGAGTAGTTTGCATTTGAAGACACATCCCTATATAAAAAATAATCAAACAAAAACCAACCTAATTTGCAGCCTTTCGTTTTAATGCGTTACCACTGCCCAAAAGAAAAGTATGCCATACTACCCCTTAATAATGTATTGTTTTATGAAAGGTTTGGTGCATGGGTTCCGTTTTCAATATTTTACGCTTAACCTTCCTAGCAACCAGTCCCAAGTCAAAACCAATACCGAAGATCAGAAACTCAATACTTTCCATTCTTATTTTTATTTAATTATTTTTTATTGTTATTATTATTGTGGAAGTACCGCTAAGAAAAAATACACTTTTCTAATTTAAGAAAGGATAGGTAAGATGTATTCTCCTGTGTGAATCAAGTGTACTATTACTGTCTGTGACTCTGTCTCTGTATTGTCTAAGAAATGTACTGCGTTAACAGCCGTTTACACAGTTGTGTTTTATATAATTTTTAATTTGTGGCCCAAATTCAACGATTTTGGCATTGTACTTTAAGGTAATTACAGTTGCCTACAAGTCGAAATGACATTTACCCGTGATCGTGCGTATTATTTCACAACCGTTTTTATACCTGGCATTATATTGGTCACCTCGTCGTTTATCACATTTTGGCTAGAATGGAATGCAGTACCAGCCCGGGTTATGATCGGTACGTAAACCAAAAACCAAATTTTTACTGCAAAAAACCACAAATCCATTGGAAGTTAAACCAAAGTCTATGAGAGTTTCATATGCAATCAGTTAAAAATCGTGAACTCTAAATTACTAATGTGACAATATTTTAGACGCTGTTTTGCTAGTGAAATACTAGCAGATAATAATCAACGTTGAACTTGTTCCGTACCCAACAGTATATAAAAACAGCTTGCAACTTATTCAGAGTATTGACTTATAGTATCATATTTTGGCGCTTGGCGCTTAGATTTTGATTAAGAAACTATTTTGTTTTCTCTTCTACCATACTGTATATCCAATCCCTGCACTGTTTAGTCTTTTTATTCAACAGTAATATCCATAATCTTTTGCACTACCATAAATAAAAACTTGATTTTAAGCTTTGCACTGCATGCTTTTTTCTCTTTAAATATATTATTATAATCTATAAGTTTCTTCGAATATCAGCCAAAAAAATCCAACAGAGTTCTCTATTAGATACAGCCGAAACCAGAAACATCTGTTAATTTTGGGGATATCATTTTCTAATGCAAACACACATGACCGTGTTCCTATAGTTCTGTAATCGTGGAAATGTACATCTTATCCCCAAATACCCCAAGTTGAGTGATCTAGTCTATCTGAAGTGCCCGACTAGGAGATGCCCCTAACCTTCTTCTAATAAAACCAGAAGCAGTTCGCTCTACGCGCTCCCTTCTACACACTTTCTCCAAACTAGGAAGAACGCTGAAGTCGAGTGTGCCCGCTTAGAAAATCTCCTGTACCCTTTATATTTGGCTGATGCAAATGTCCTAGCAAATGTCAACATAATGTTTACTTTGATATAATCTCGAAGAAATCAGAGTGCCGGTCGGACCGCACCACTAGATCATATACTTACTTTTTGGGGTGCTTTGGACCAAACTAAGTTCTAGATTCGCTAAGCTTCTCACTTGTATGCAAAGTCTCATCAAGATGGCATTACTATCTTGTAAGGCTGTATAGCAATAATCGGTCGAAAACAGTTTCTGTATGGGAAAATATTCTGTTTCCCAATATATCTTCACCAAACTAAGCCTTAACGTGCTTCACTGCTCTTACATATCTTCAAAGCCGTAAAGTAAATGTCTTTTTAGGTATATCATTAAATTTAATTATACCGTGCCACTGTGTTATTTATTGCATATGTTAGCCATATTTCGTTTATATATTTATTTTTTTACTTATATATTTACATAGCTTCATGTGATTCATTCATTCACGTGAGTTCTTTGCTATAGGAGTATAATCTAGAAGGTTGATGACAACGTCGGAACTTAATTGAAAAAGGAAAAATGTTGGTCTGCATTATTGATGCGATCAATTCGATCTAGCCATTTACGTCTGCCGTCTGTCCGTATATATGAACCTTTCGATCTGAAAACGTTTCCTAGTGCTGGCGCAGTAAGTGTTTGTTTTCGCTAATCGATAACTTGACCCGCTTCCAAGCAATTGATTAGAATCAATAACAAAATCCTGTTGAGCAAATCTCTTAGGTTATAATATCTAATCTTCACATGTAACTTAGTGTATTTAATTTGCAGGTTCGAGTCTTTCTGCGTACACGGCAAGGTATCTATTATAATAGGCCTTTCTTTATTAACTTACATTTTCTATCGGCTACCAAATCAGTTCAAAGTATACTGCAACTATTGGGTTTTTAATTATGGCTAGCATTTCTCTTCCAAAAGAGAGTTTCTTATATAATATTATTTCCAGCTACTTGCCTCTGGAATAAGGTATGTAAGTCTATTATTTAGTGATTAGTAAGGCTTTGCCCACCCAAGGCTAAATCAAATAGCAGATTTCAAGAGCTTACTAAAGGAAAGGAAAAGTATTGCCTTTACCATAACAACTAGCAAATCTGCGTAAGACAACAATTCTTTCCTCCATGGGAGTGCCTCTTTTGCGCACTTCCACTACAGCGAACCATTTTGCCATTCCACCTAGTAATTGTCGGACTCCAGTCGATATCGGAGCGAAAGCCACCTCGAAGCAGGATTTTAGTTGATTGATAGACACAATTCTTTCTAATTTCTAATTTATTGCCGTGTCCACGCTGGATGCAAGGGATCCATGTGCTGATAAGTTCCTTCCGAAGCCCACGAGGCTATCATTTTTATACCCTGAACCAATTAAAAATGGGTAAAGGGGTATATAGTATTTGTGCAAAATCTAAATGTATGTAACGTGCAGGAGGAAGCATCTCCGACCCCATAAAGTATATATATTCTTGATCAGCATCAATAGCCGAGTCGATCAAGCCATGTCCGTCTATCTGTCCGCCCGTCCGTCCGTTCGTCCGTCCGTCTGACCGTCTGTCCGTATGTATGAACGCAAGGATCTCAGAACCTATAAGAACAAGAGACTTGAAATTTAGATGTAGGTGCTCCTAGTGACTGCGCAGATCGAGTTTGTTTCCGATAATCGATAACTTACTCCGTTTCCAAGCAATCGATAAGAATAGATATCGATATCCTGTTTTTGGCAAATTTTGGTAAATAATAAGAGCTTGAGTCACCAAACTTGACATAAAGCTTCTAATATAGAATATATATATGCATTTGATGTTGGAAGAAGAGGGTTCAGGGTATCCCCTAGTCGGGAGATCCCGACTAGAACCTCTTACTTGTTTTCCTTCATCTATCAAATTTAATATTCTGAAATTTAAACTTTATGAGTATTATTCTCCTTCGCTTTGTTCTGCATCCTTGTATGCACCACAAGCTTTATCAATCTATCAGATTCAAGCACTTTGTTTTCTGGGGGCTCCGGGATAAGAAGTCGCACGTTCTTGCAAAACTTCTTACAGCTAGAACTGCTTGTGTTTGAAGAGTTGAAGGAGTATATACATTTTATGCAAACGATATACATTTGGCAGAAAGAAGTTTTCTAAGATCAGTATATACATTGTTCATTAGGACTGAGGCGATCTAACTGTGTCCTTCTTCTCCGGCATGCATTTGTATCCAAATATAAGCTTTTATATATGTACATATGGAGGAATCTAAAATGTTGTAACAGCAGCTTTGCTGTTGGTGCAAAGTGCCTCGTCTAGTCTAGTCCTCTATGTGGACGCAGTTCATTTCCAACATTAATTGGTATCGCTTCTTGTGTAATTGGCCAATTTTCGCATAAATCCACCCTTCCGGGTTGTTTCCACCTAGAGGTAATTCTGTAATTATCGTTAGATTCAGCCTGGGCTATTCTCTAGGAACTGTGGCGGCCTTTAGGTACCTTTTCACTTTGTTTAGCCATCGGCCCTAAACATTTTCAAAATGCTTTGCTCTGAATGAGTGCTTGAACATCAGTCTTGGTAAGTCATTCATGGTGCTGCGATTTGTAGTCGTGCTTTTCTCGAATTGCTTTTCTATTCCTCACACGACGATAAGCATATAGCTTGCTTAAGGCGTATGCAATTATATCAGTCCTGTGGATCAGTCTAGCGCTATGGCCAGCTCGTTTGCAGATGTCGACGTTCCTGTGAACAGGAATTTGTCATTAGCAAGCCCCCGGCCCATGTCTGTGCTAAATGGCCCCTGATCTAGCCTGTTTCATTTACCATGCGGCCTCCATGTATATATATTTCCGAGAAATCATCCAAACGATCATTTAGATACAGGATTGTTGTCATTGACACTGATGGCTTCTCACTTGCACCTTGCATACTGTTACCTAAATTCGTTTAATCTCGAAAAACGAATACTTTGTGGGTCTTACAAGGATAAACCAAAAACAGTCTCCACAAAGATGAGTAACGCCCATTTGAAAGCAACGTAGAAGTTGTAGTGTTCTTCTTTACGAGGCTTTTCAGCAGCCTCTCGTGCGGCTCGTTAAGCATTACACAAAGAACGCAGCCAGACTGCCTTCAACAAGGCTGGTCCAAGGTTTTTGTTTTCGTTAAAGCTCTATAATAGAGTATACTCGACATTAAAATTCATTGTACCCCTTGGTTAATATAATATTCTGGTTTTTAGCACCACTCTTTGAAGTCTTTGAATCATAAAATGCAGCCACTAAAATTTTAGAATATTCAAGTACATACATGTAGATGCATTTATGCATAAACTTCTGTGCTGCTTATATGGTTGGGTACACAAGCAGTGAAATATTTATAATAAACGAGAGAATATTTACCAAATACCGCTATAGGTCTTATGCTTAATGAACAACATTCATTTCCTTTAATTATATTGAAAATTTGAACAGGTCGCTTCCCAATCGAATCTATGAGATTTTACTCAACAAGAGAGAATCGAACCAATACTAAAATTATTGCAAAATCTTATAATTTTTAATTTTAATTTAATAATTAAAAGTTTGGAAATAGGTTTATGGAAGGAAAACTTAAACAGGAAAAATTTAAACAAGTAAGAGGTTCTAGTCGGGAGCTCCCGACTAGGGGATATCCTGAACCTTTTTCTTCCAACATCAAATGCATATATATTCTATTTTAGAAGCGATATGTCAAGTTTGGTGACTCTAGCTCTTATTATTTACCAAAAATTCCCGAAAAACAGGATATCGACATTGATTTTTATCGATTGCTTGGAAACGGAGTAAGTCATCGATTATCGGAAATAAACTGGATCTGCGCGGGAACTAGGAGCATCTACATCTAAAATTTCAAGAGATCCTTGCGCTCATACATACGGACGGACGGACGGACAGACACACGGCCATGGCTAGATCGACGGCTATTGATGCTGATCAAGAATATATATACTTTATGGGGTCGGAGATACTTCCTTCTGCCTGTTACATACATTTGGATTTTGCCCAAATACAATATACCCTTATACCCATTTTTAATGGTTTCAGACTATAAATATTAGTTTCGGAAACTGGTGTGTAAACCTGATTACTCGCAGTGTATATATATATGTATTTACATAATTGACCAAAATATTCAAATACAGTATAGTAGACGTAGTGCATTAATATCTCACTTGGAGGAAATATTCCTCATTCCTTCCTAAATATAAAAAGCGCAATTTTAACGCTAGAAACGAGATTTGATATACACACATATTTGAATACTATGTTAATGATATCATGAAGATAGGACAAGAAACTTAAATGTTATTTCAATTTTAATTTACAATTTATATTTAGCTATATTTTATGATTTATGGCAAGCAACGAGTGCCTCAAAAAAACAAAATATATTGACTCAGGGGTAGAGGATATTTAGTAGTCGAGAACACTCGACTAAAGCGTTCTCATTTGTTTATTCACAAATATAAAACCTTCTGGTTATTTACAAGCATAATACTTTCTAGTTTCTATTAATTTTGTCTCTAGAGTCAGGCAATATACATTTAAAATCATTTAATGAAAAAACTTGCTTACACCTTATTACAAACTGTATAAGTAAAACTTAAAGCAGTAATTATTTAAAACACATAAAATAAAAATTGCGCCTGTTATGTTTTTGATCCAAAGAATTTTTTCCTGGACATGTAGACATTATACTTTTATTTTTCAAAATGGAAAGTGTTGCTTTTTTAGAGTGGAGAAAGGCATGCTGTGAGACAGGCAGTAAAACGCAAGCTACTCTTAAGCAGTCTAGTTACATGTTTAATACATTTTGTTAAAAGTACCTCGAAACGTTTCCCAAACGATTTTTTAGTATATAGTGGTTATTTACATTTTAACACGCATTATACAACTGCAATGTGACCCTGCAATTAACTTCGAACTTTTGCTAATACATCTTTACATCAAAACTGATTAACTATATTGCAATAACCAAACAAAATACACAATCCTTGAACTGCAACCTAAGACCCCGAAAATGAACCCGCCGTCGTGTTCCATATAAGTATGCAACATGATGGTAAACAAGTTACAAATAGCTAATGCAAGCTTTTCTGTCTTCCTTAAATCCAACTTTCTACGCTCAACTGGCAACAACAACAATAACTAGGCGTGACAACAATGTTGAATTTCTTCACTACCTCCAATGGTTTCCGCAGCACCCTGCCCGTTGTCTCCAATCTGACGGCGATGAATGTGTGGGACGGCGTCTGCATGTGCTTCATTTACGCCTCTTTACTGGAGTTCGTTTGTGTCAATTATGTTGGACGTAAGCGTCCGCTGCACAATGTCGTCTATCGTCCGGGTGAAAATCCCGTAACACAGGTAAATTAGAATACAATATAAAACAAAAAATGCTCATAGGTCATAAAGGGGCCTGTGGCTAATTTGTTATGCATTTCAAGCAAAGAAATATATAATTCACATACGCGTCTATTGAACCATTCAAAACGCACACACACACGAAACACTACAACACACAGCTAAATTTACTTACTTGTTTTATTTATACTCTTATTTTAAATGTATTTGGTTAAAAACACAAACTCAAAAATGTTATTTTCGGTTTGCCGAAGATTAAATACCCTTGCGGACAGAAAGCAAGCATGTAAACTTTAATCGTTTCTGGCGATTGTCACTATTGTGCTTAAAACTCAAAAAGAGTTTGGCCCGTATATTACGTCAAATTAAGGCTAAAAGGTCCTGAGTTCAGTTTGAATATTGTTATTGTTATTGTTATTATAACTAAATAAGTGCTGTGCAATTGTGCAGGGTAATATAGTGGTCCGATTTAAAACACAATACACAAGGATCATAGGGACGCTCGAAGTTGAAAAGATTCATTAAAATCTATTCAAAGCTGAGAAGCTGCTTTCTCGAAGCAGACAGGCGTACAAGAATTAACCGACTCTTCTGATCAAGGGTACGGACAAATATGTATGGACGAATAGGTCTCACACGATGCTTGACATATTTGGCAAATTTATAATACCCTCTGCAAGGGTATGAAAACTTTTAAGCACTCTTAAACAATAATCATACAGAAACAAAAAACTTTACTCACTGTGTTGTTTCTGTCGATCTCTGAAACCTAGCTATGTATGTATGTTACTCCCCAAATCTTCAAGTTCTCTATCCCTTTTATCTCTACTCTTCACAAGTCCTTTTTTAAATTTATTTCAATGTGCTAACTATAAACATTCCTTATATAAATGCTCGCTCACCTTGTGTTAATGCTCAGCATACCCCACAGTTAATCATTCCCAATTAGCATTTTGAATTGAACTTCTGTGTCCTAAACAAAAACAAAACAAATAATCCCAAGTTACCAAAAGTTTTTACTTTATTTTTACTCAATAATTGCTTATATTATAAAATAATAAATACATATGTATACATATATATATATATAATTAAGTTTTACACGTTAGGTTACTATAAAAAAATATATTTCAATTTATTATTTTCACTTAACGGCTACTTTTGTTGAGTACATTCAGATTTGCTTCCCGAATATGAACTGATTTATCTAACTGTTGCGGTCGCTTAGCAAACTTCGCTTTGAGAGAGTTTGAGTCAAAATTGAGTGAAGTTTGAGCTGCGTCAGCAATTATGCGTGGGATAGTACTCTGATGGGAACATTGACAGTGGCGTGATATTTAGGGTGAATTGTTTATGTCTACCAAAGGGGGACAGTTTGATCTTGACCAATGTCGATGTTATCACCAGGCTCTTTGTTTACAATATTAGAAATGTTTATAATTGTGCTTATGCTTATGTGCTAAGTTATGTTAAAGGGTGGGTGCGACTATGGATATGTCACTCCCCCAACCATTAGAAAAGTGCCTGTCCTCAGGTGTTTAAGTTTGGATATAGTGTAACATTTTCTTCTTTTACAATTGGTATATCTCCTATTATTGTAGGTGTTTCTTCTACTTTGGGTTTTTTATATTTTATAATTAATTTCTTAGGTATGCTTTTGAACTTATATGTCAAATACAGTGTTAAACTTATTAATATGATTACAAATATGGTTATTGTAATTATCTGGAATACATTGTTAAATTTTGTATGTGCATTTATAATTTGTTTCGTTTGTACAAACGAAAGTGGTTCTAATTTTATAACATCATTGCTTACGTAAATGCTTTGAGTATAATCTAACATATTGTTTGAAATTGAAATTTCATTAATTTGCAATGAACAATTAAAGATTTTTATTATATTGTCTCCTTCTATTGTTATTTCGTTATTTATACAATTATGGTTTAATATAGTTTTTGGTAAATTCCAAGTTAAAATTATATTTGGTTCTATGTAGTTGATTTGAAAATTTTGCAAAATTTTAGTATAACTACATTCTGATGTTATTTGGTTTAAAATTCCTGTTAAACATTCATTATTAATTAATTTTTTTGTTTCTCTGCTATAAACTTTTTTATCTTGGGTAAAATATTTTTCATGAGCTATTTCTGTCAAAATATTATTATTTTCATCCGGGTATGGAATTATTTCGAATACCGGGCTTTTTATTATTTCTCGAGGAATATGGGATATTATAAGTATTTCGTTTGTATCTGATTTAAACCAAGTGGAAGTTTTTGTATTCAACAATTTCTCAGAATTAACATGCAACAAATAGTCATGTTTTAGTAATTTTGGGTTAAAAATTCCTAATCTTGTGAGCTGCATTCCCATCTCAATGTCTTCTATATATTCTGTAAAGTGTTGTAAGTTAAATATAAGGATATCTAATTTCTTTCCTTTTTGTTTCTCTTGATCTAGTTCGTTCATGATTTCTATTCCTTTGTTTATAGCTTCTATTATGTAATTTAATTCGTTAACCTGGACGCTGTTTTCTGCTAAGTTGCTTATTTTTTGTTCAATTTCTGCTTTGTCTTCTTGATCTAATGTTCCAAATAAGTATTTATATGCTGTTCCTACTATGTTAACTAAACCTCTTTTGCTGCGTTTGGCTATTTTTAAGCCGTTTATTTCTCTGTTTAATTTTTCTACTAGGTATTCGATTTGTATAAGGTTATTGAATTCTTTACTTTGTTCAATTAAATTGTTAAAAGTTTCTTCGGTTTTTGTTATATTAACCGTTAAACAGTGGAATTCGTAATCTGTCGGAATGTCTATGGTTCCTGTTTTAAATATGAGATATCCGTTATGGGCTTTGATAGGATTAATTTCAATACTCTGTGCATTTATATGGTTTACAGTTATTGATAGTAATATTATAATAATTAATTTAAGCTGGTGCTTGTATGTTTTGATCGCTGTCTGTTGTTGACCTGTAATTGTTATATTTGCTTTGATTAGTCTTCTTTTTCTTTTTAAATTTGGTTTTGTAATGTGTTATTTTCCTGCCTCTGTTAGTTTCCTCAAAATGTTTGTCGTCGATTTGTCTTAGTTCTCCTGTTTTCTTGAACGGGGTTGTCGTCTTTGATTTAACTAACGGTGAGTGTTTGTATCTAGTGTCAATTTCATAATTTGTTCGTTTTTTGTTGAGGTTATTTATTAGTTTTTCTTTATTAGCTTGAGTGTCATACTCTGGTGTACCTGCATATATGAATATGTCCGCTGGTGTTCTGTTAGTCGTTTTGTGCTTTGTTTTATGATTGTACGTGTAGAGTATAGTTTCAAATTTTGTAAGTTTATTTTCGACGTCTGAGTCGCTGTTAATGATTCTTAGTTTTTCGTTAACTGTCTTATGAAATCGTTCTACGTCGGATATACCATTTTTACTAGTGGTTATATTAATATTTACTGCTTCTGATTTTAGCCATAATTGTAAAGCTGTGCACATAAAAGCTGAGTCTTTGTCTGCCTTTATTTCGATGGGTTTACCCATTTGGTTGAACACTTGTAATATAGCTCGTTTGGTTTCTAGCCAGTCTCTACTTTTTATTTCTATTAATGATGCAAATTTTGAATAGATATCAATGCAAGATAAAAATTGTTTATCTCCTACTATGTAAAAATCCATTACATATTTTTCTCGGATATTAGCGATTTCCGGAGTTATTTCGAAAGTTAATTTTGTATCTCTGTGTTCTGTTTTTGCGATGTTGCAAATCTCACATTCATTTATTAGATTTTGAATTAAATTTTGATAATCTGGGAAATAGTGGGTTTCTTTGAACCAATTGATAGTTTTTTCAATTCCTGGATGTAATAATTCTTTGTGCTTTTTTAATATTAATTCTTTGAATTCTGCATATGTTTGAAGGTCTATTAATTTTGTACTAGTTTTCATTGCCTTTGTTGAATTATTCGGACTTATTATTTCTAAGTAGGCTTCTTGAAAAATTGGAAAATCTGCTTCGTTGTGGAAGTATAGCACACTTTTCTTTGTGCATAAGTATTCTTTTATTAATTCTTTGGCATGCGTATTAGTCATGTCTTTGTACGTAATTTTTATGTTGGTTTTGTGAAAGTAATTCGTAACTTTTGTTTCGTTCTCGGTTCCTTTTTCAAATTCTATTTGTCGATTATAATAATTAAGTGGTCTTTCTGTGATTTGTAAATGGTTACTGTTGTCTTCTTGAGCACTATGTATTGTTGCTCTTGTGCTAATTGTATCTTCGCCTAAGAAGTTTTCGTTTAATTGAATTCTGGACAGAGCATCTGCCACATAATTTTCTTTTCCTGGGACGTATTTAATTTGGAAATCAAACTCATTTAGCTTGATCTTCCACCTTTGTAATTTCATGTTAGGTTCTTTCATATTATTTAACCAGACGAGTGGTCTGTGATCACTAAGGATTTGAAATTGTCGACCAAAGAGATAGGACCTAAAGTATTTAGTGGCCCAAACGATTGCTAATAATTCTTTTTCAATCGTTGAATAATTTAACTCATGCTCGTTGAGAGTTCTACTTGCATAGCATATAGGCTTATGCTCTTGCGAAAGGACGGCCCCTATTGCCATATTACTTGCGTCTGTAGTTAATGAAAATGGTTTTTCGAAGTTAGGGTATATTAAAATTGGGTCGGATGTTATGAGTACTTTTAGCTTTTCAAACGCTAGTTCGTAGTCTCTGTCTTTTATATTGATTTTTGCTCCCTTTTTTAATTTAAGTGTTAATGGTTTTACTATATTAGCGAAATTTGGTATAAATTTCCTATAGAAACCACATAATCCTAGAAATGATTTAATTTCTTTTGGGGTTTTTGGAATTGGGAATTTGACAATTGCTTGTATCTTGTTGGGATTTGGTTTTATACCCTCAGTTGTGATGATGTGACCGAGAAATTCAGTTTCTTTTCTCATAAACTCGCATTTATCCAACTGTAGTTTTAAGTTAGCTTCTCTAAGC